ATGTCTTCTTGCACACATGTGGGAAAAAGAGCTGGGGGCACATTTGGTGGGAACCTCTTAATATAGACATTTAAGGTGCAAAGCCCTCCACGTTGCATTGGAACACTTCCTCGGGAAGAGCCTAAGCGGGGCTTCGCAGGTTCACAAACTTCTCTCATGTGTCCTCCTTTTTACCTTTCACGAATTGTAAAAGCCCGTAGAACTGAAGCACTCTAAAAATGTTGGGAACGATATTTCATTATGCTGGAACACGATGGATATGTTCCATATATGACAGATGTAATGGATTTAGCAAAAAAAAAAAAAAAAAAAAAAAAAAAAAAAAAAAAAAAAAACCTACCAGAACATTCCACAGTCAAGGGTTCTTCACCTTTTTGTGTGCCATAGATGAAAGGTACACAGCAGTATAGTGAAATTTAATAGACCTTTACTCAAAATGTTTTAAAATACGTAAAATATACAAGACACAAAGGAAGCCAGTTATGAGAAAAGTTATAAAGATATTTTTAATTGTGATATAGTAATACGTATTTCTTAAGATCTGCAGGGCACCTGGGTGGCTCAGTCGGTTAAGCGTCCGACTTCGTCTCAGGTCACGATCTCACAGTTTGTGAGTTCGAGCCCCGCATCGGGCTCTGTGCTGACAGCTCGGAGCCTGGAGCCTGCTTCACGTTCTGTGTCTCCCTCTTCTTTCTGCCCCTTCCCTGCTCATACTGTGTCTCTCTCTGTCTCAAAAATAAATACACATTAAAAAAAAATTTTAAAAAAAAGATCTGGAAGCAGCTCTGTAGTTTTGAAGTAGTAAGGAGCATCAAGGTGTTTGCACCAATTTATTTGACATGAAAATATCTGTAATTTCTTTTGGTGACAGAGCCACAGATAACTTGTAACTTGTTGCCTCCGTTTCATAACTGAAGGAAATGCTTTATTTCCATTAGAGGTTAGTGAGATAAAGATATAATTTCCCCCATGCAAGTTCATGGACTTTATTGTTCCGTCCACAGGAGTCTACAGACCCCAGGTCTGATCATCACTACTTCTAAGGGCAACAGAACTCTGGTCAGCCGAGTAGGAAACAGATCAGACTCCTGTTACGGAAAGTATTTGGCAAGGCATAAATAACTATTATTCCATTCAAGGAGCAATTGCTGCCCTGTACAAAAAAATGTGATGATGTGGTACAATGGGTTATAACTGTGGAAAATCATTTTGATGGAGTGGACACCAAAGCCGCACAGGCTGAGGTCAACACTGAAGGGCAGGGGACAATCGAAAATCATCATCGAAACCTTGGGCTGTGCAGTTTAAAGGCGAGGCAAGGAAACGTTTCCTTTATTAAAGACTGTCATATTAAAAGGAACTTTTTTTTCTGCCAAAAAGGAGAGGTAATAACGTTCAATGCTTTGGTTCCTAAGGGATTCCAATCCCTTAGCACACAGCCACTATATTTTATTATCGCATCTTCCTACGTTTGTATGCCTACTTTGTAAAGGACCTTTGCCTCTGTTGTCTTGTGATTCTAAAATAATTGCTATGTGTCGAACACTTTGTCGGTAGCAATTTTGAGACTAAAGCGGGTCACGGTTATGTCAGCAGGAAAAAATGGGTATTATTGTCATACCTGCTGGCTTCTTAAGTTTCTCAGTGGTGGGCTTTCTGTTCAACTCCAGTACAAAGGTGATACATTGACTCAGAGACACAAAGAACTCTGTAGGGGGTCTGGTGAAGTAAATAATCTCTTCCAGAAAGGAGAGAGGTGGGCAATGTGTTGGGGTTTTAAAATGTAACAGGCGAGTTTCATGATCATTTTGTGGAGGAGATTAGTCAGCTCATTCATTCATTCCAACATCTCTGGACGGTCCCATTACAGGACTCGTCCCCCCCCCCCCC